TGTAGGCATGTTTTGCTCAAACACAGTGTACATGTCGAAGAGACCATGTGATGGTTCTGAAGTTAGGACCATCTTCCTGTACTGGTTGATGTAGATGGTCCATGAAGCCATTGCAGAGGAAGCACAGCAGCACAAGCTTCAGTGAGAATTGCCTACAGAAACACAGGTCCATGCTGACGGAGCTCCTGTGTCATGTCTTCTTGGAGGGCCAGTGTTAAGTTAGTAACATTTAGCTACGACAGATGAACACTTGCTGCAGTCATACCTGAACCTGCACTAGAGACAGCCCTGACTAGGGCATACCTATACATCAAGTTCTACACTGCTGTAACAATAACTGTTAAGAAGCATTCCTGGTGGAACTGGCACAGCTCTAGTGGGGCGCAGATACACTAGTGGAGAGGCGATGTATGCTAATCCCATCATTACTGGGGCATTGACTGCCCTACATCAATTTCTGCAAAGGAGAGCTGGAGCAATCCAAAACCTGTCTGCAGAGATGGGCAGTGATTTAAAGACCTTAGGGCACGTTAACTCTGTGTTTGAAAGCTGTGAGTAGTGTGCACTTCAGCATCTCCTAAATTGGTTAAGACAGGTTCTACCTAGTCTTTAATTTGATCTTTCTAGCATTTATTAAAAGCAGTCACACCTTGATTACTTTAGACTCTTCTGACACATTCCTTCCAAAGGATTAGTTAACGTAAGCTGCCTAACCTAAAAAAGTTCTTGGTTTGTGCACCTGTGTTTGTATGTGCTTGTGAATTAAGGGAGAGACCCAGGGCTTATTCTTTTATGGCACTGTTTGACATTAGGCTGGCACATCTAATGGTGTGGTCACTGATGTTGTATTGGTTTAACCCAGCAATAGATTCAAGCCAGACCCAGGCTCTTCCACAGTCTGTTTTCCAGTTTGTCTTTCTGTTACTGTGATTGTAGGCGGGAAGGCAGGCAGGATGTTGGGGAAGCGGAATAGCAAAGAGTGATATACAAATGTTGGGATGCAGCCAAGCTTTAGATTAATACAACGTGACCATCATTTCACCATCCTCTGATACAGGGAGTTTTTCCTAGCAGTGAAGCAGAGCAGCACAAAGGCTCTAGGGAAAAGAGAGGATCTGGTGGAGGCTTTCTTCTGTACTACACCTCTGGTATCTCAGGTCTTTCACAGCAGGTGGGAATTAGCAGTAACTAACCTCTGAGGAGAGAGCAGTAGACAAGAGAGAAAGATGCATTTTTAACTGCAATATGCATGAAGAAGTGTAGTTAATGCACAGGGAAGTACAGGGAAGCTGTCCAACAACTGGAACTAAAAATAAGGCAGCTCTTGCCTTAGAAGTAAAGGGTCAGAGAGAATGGTTACTGCAACAGCAGCTTTGATACATTTTATTCCATTGGTGGTTTCTGGAAGTGCTTTTTTTCCATCATGGAGCATCTCTTGCATGTAGCTAAACTTGTTGCTTTCCAAAAGCTTTGCAGAGGAGGACACTCTCTTGCTGTATTAGGGAGGACTAGAACACTGAGGTGTGAAGTCAGGAAAAATGTGCTGTTGGTTTTAATGGATTGTGCCCTTTTTAACTTCTTGCTCTAGAGATCTCAGGGCTGATTCTGACCTAAGTTACCACAACAAACCTGAACTTCAGCCAGTAAGGAAGAGAGATGAATCCGTGCTTCTATCATCTGATAGGTTTTCCATCCCCTGTCAGCACATCACAAAGGAAGGTCATCACTTGGTGCACAAACAGCCTTTGGGAGTTGTTGAGAGTGATTCTTGGCTGTGCAGTGTGTGCAGCAGCATGGAAAGGTCTCTGAGCTATAGGCCAGGTGACTGTTACAGCCCAGCATACCTCTGTACCAAACCAGAGGGAGAACAGAAAACGTATTCCCTGCATGGGAAGTTATTTAGAACAGAGCAGCTAGTTTGGAATTAGTCCTTGCCTGCCAGATAAAACTTACTTGCTTTTCCCCAACAGAGATTGAATTCCTGTAGGTTTTGAGTACTTATTTCCTGGTGACATAGCTATACAGGGAAGGTGGTTCGGAAGAGGCATCTTGTGAGAACAGTTTGATGAGAAGAGAGTTTCTTAACCCACCATTGACTGAAATGATGGCAGTCAATGGTGGGTTAAGATGAAATTCCAGCATTAGGTAGGGATGTGTGCCATTTGTATCTCTGTTGTGTAAGCTTGTGCTACCATGGCACTACTTTCACAAGAGACAGAAAAACCTCTGAATTCCAATGCTGCTCCTTTTCTGCTCCAATCAGTTGATGCAGAAGGCACTGTTTGTATCAGGGGGATTAAAAAGGGTACAGCCCAGCAGTCCCTGAGGAAGGAGGTTTGCAGAGGCAAATCCCTTTCCAACATCCTCCTTCCCAACCGTCCTCCCCTGAACACCCACCTGAGCCCTCCCTGCTGTTGCTTTTGCTGCTGGGCTGTCAAAATATCTCTGGTAATGAAGCAGTCTGGCCTGAGGCTACTATTACCTCCAATGCTGACCCCACTGAGCAGGACTCAGTGGCTGGCTGTTCACATGCAGTGAGCGCGGAGCTGGGCCACACCTGGAATAAAAGGCAGAAACAATGAATCCTGGCTGCTAGACAGCCTTGATGTCCTCTGAGACTAGAAGGGACTGAGGAAGGCATGGATCTGGCTGGTCTGGGAGGTGGTGGTGTGGCTCTTTGGACTCCTTCCCTGTCTTTGGTAGGCTCAGTGATGTGGTAGGGACAGAGTTGTTGTTTTCCATCACTGGTGTGATAGTGTCAGGGTAATTCACTCCCAGTTAAAAGGCTTAGCACCCCTACTTCTTTGGGGGAAACAGTGTGATTCAATGGTTACTACACCAGCTGTTGAAAGACCTGGTTTATTATCTAAGCTCCTCTGGTGTACGGGACAGAACTTGGCTGGCATGGTTAGCTTTGGACTGTGAGAAGCTCATGCTACAGATTTGCTATGACAAGGTCACGAAGACCAGTGCTGTAGATGCATCTGTGCTGACAGAACATTGGATCTGTTCATTTAGCAGAGGATCATCGTGCCAGGTGTGCCATCAGTGCTGGAATCCTGCAAAGACAGAAGCTCCGAGTTAGTCTCTGAACTCGGGCTGGTCACTGTACATGTTCCTGGGTGTCTCCTCCCAGCCTCAACCTGTCTTTCCTGTAAAGGGGCAGGGCCTGCATCTGCAGTGAGTTTTTCAAACACACAACACAAAGGACCTTTGATCTCAGAAACGTAGAGGTTTTCTGTCACACATGTAAATAACAAATTACATTTAGAAAGGTTCCCCTGCTTTTACCAGAAGAATAATAATGGGGCATATACAGCATAAGTAATTTGTTCATGAAAACAGTGATGGCATAAGGAGGAATCCTTATCTGTTAACTTCCATTCCTGTGCTTGAAGCACCATCTCTTCCTGTAAAATGCTGTACAGCACAGCTAGCTCTTTGCAGTTGCTGACCCATTTGACCTGAGGGGAGTAAAGGATCCAGATTTTGTTTCAGCTTCAGTCTCCTGCTGTCGAAGTCAGGCATCCAGATAGAGCTCTTACACAATACAGAGTTCTGTATTGCAGTGGGGAGGGATAGAGAGGAATGTTTAGTGCTTTTAAGAGACTGGCAGGATCAGCCTGAATCTGTGCCTCTTGAATGCCCCAAACTTCCCTTAGCTCACTTACATGTGTGCAAGAAACCCTGCCTGGCTCAGGCCATGCACCTGGTATTAAGCCACCATCACGAGGCCTTACTCTTCCGGTGCTGGACCTCTGCATAGCTTTAGAGGTAAAAAGCAACTGGGTTTATATGCAGTGAGGAAGTCCCATGGCAAGTCACCTTTTCCTTTAAAATATAAGGTAAATAACAGCTCTCCGGGTTAGAAAAGGTTTCATAGAGCTGTTTATTAGGGGAAGATTGGATGGTAATGCAAAGTGCTGTTGATATTTGAGTGTGCGTCCAAACCACAGAGATCTGAGGAGTCTGGAAGTACCACAAGATTTGTTCCTGGAGGATGAAGGCTGGTCTTGTTCTGCTCTCCTGTGACCCCTCCTGGAGGGAGACTTTGGAGAAGGCTGTGGCCAAGCTCTCTCTGTGCTTGGAGGTGAAGCTGTCATCAGGAACAGAGGTGGAAGCAGAGCAGTAACTCTTACGGCTGTATAAAAGAAAGCAGGCTTTGAGAAAAAATACCCACTCCCCTAAAAAGTGAACACAAATCAGTGCCATGAAGCCAAGTTACAAAGAAGGTGGAGTCAAAAGAGGGCTGAAGTAGTTCTAAGCCTGGTGCAGGTTGCTCAATGTAGTTCTAGGTGTGAAGGTTTTCTGGGACTGTAGGGCCTTCTGAGCAAATCTCCATCCAGAATCCTCTAACATGCTCCCACAGAGAAGCCTGTGTTACCCAGAGCCTCTTCCAAGCATTTTCCTTGGCTCATTAGGTGATAATAGAAAGTGATTTTTCCTCATCATCTTGAGCAATCAGAAGCATTAAGAGCAAGAGCCTAAGCCTGAAAGCCTAAATGAGAGGTTTGATGTGTGTGTATGTGTGTCTGCCTCTCTCATTAGAGCAAGAAGCAAGGATGGCTCCCAGAGCTTGCATTGCTTAAGAGTAAATAGGCAAGAAGGAAGGATCATGGTCAAGGAGCATCAAGAGAAAACTGTGATTTGGGGCCTAGATTCCATGCCCAGATGTGCAGAACCTGATGCAGTTCCCTCTGCCTTTACTGATGTGAAGCAATAGCTTGTCCCACAAGTGGTCTGTCCATTAGTGGGCTTTCTGTAGAGAAGGGTCACCTGAGAGCTAAGGGGGCAAAAATACCACCTGTAGGATCTCAGCCAAACCTGTTCCATGATTCTGTGACATCCTGGGACAAAGCTGGGAACTTCCTGTTGTTGTGGTGGGAACTTCAAGCCACAACTCACACAGAACTGTCATTGTTCTGCCAGCGTGTAAGACTTGTGGGGCTTGGTTCTTATACTGTCTTTAAGGGGATAACTTACTTTTATTTCCCTTCCAGGTAGGATCCTTCCTGCAGTCGATCGTACTGAGCATCCGAAGGTAGGGAACTCCCTCTTGTTGATGTGTAACCACCACACAACTTAATTTGGAATCATGTTGTCCTCTCAGGGCACTTGCATGTGGATTTTGTGCCATAGCTTATAATGGAAAACCAATTTACACCATTCTCCCAAGTTGTGCTGTATCATTGTATGGGGAAGGAAAAGGCTTTGGTGGTTTTTGCATGGGTTGTGCATTGTTGCGCATTGATAAGACAAGGGGAATGGCTTTAACCTGCCCGAGGGGAGACTGAGATGAGCTCTTAGGCAGAAGCTCTTCCCTGTGAGGGTGCTGAGGCGCTGGCACAGGGTGCCCAGAGAAGCTGTGGCTGCCCCATCCCTGGCAGTGTTGAAGGCCAGGTTGGACACAGGGGCTTGGAGCAAGCTGCTCCAGTGGAAGGTGTCCCTGCCCGTGGAACTGGATGAGCTTTAAGGTCCCTTGAACCCCAACCACTCCGTGATCTGTTACCCTGTTCCCTCATGGGACATTCACCCCTCCCAGCAGAAAGCCCTCCGGAGCCGGGGGGAGCCCCCGATCCCTCCTCCCCGCTCCGTCGGCTCCCTCCTCGGCGCTGTCCCCGCCGCCCGTCGCTCACCCCCTCGCCCGCCGCCCGTCGCTCGCAAGCGCCTCCGCTCTTTAAATGGGCCAAGTTAGGGAAGCGGCGGCTGGCGGTCGGGTTTGGGCAGTGTCTGAACTACCCGGTGACTTCTGAGCCCCGATCGATAACTGCCTGTGCCGGCGCGGCGGGGCGCTGCGGGCCGGGGGGCAGCGTGCGGCGGGGCCCTTGTTACAGTGCGTGTCGGTGTGTCCGTGCGTGTGCATCGGGATCCATCCCTGTGTCCGTCCTGACATACACGGGTTTAACATGTGCGGGAGTGGGAATTAAACACACACACACCCCCAGTGTGCTCATAGAGCTTCGGTGGGACCGGGCGCGGCTGCACTTCGCAGGTGGAGCTGCGCAGCCCCCGGCAAACTTCCCCGTCCGGGAAACGGGAGAACCGGGACCACCGGGCACCGCCGAGCCGGCTCCGTGTGCTCCCTGCGGCCGGCGGGCGCCGGCGGCGAGGGGCGGGGAGGGGCTGGCGGCGAGGCGGCGGGAGCGCAGCGTTTAATTTTAATTACTGCATATAAATAAATAACCCAGGTGTCAGTTTAAAGGAAGGAAGAAGAAGAAAGGGGGGGGGGGGGAGGAGGGCGAAAAGGGGGGCTGGGTGGGCGGCGGGGAACCCTCCAGCCTGGTGGAAGGTGGGTCGATGTGGGGGAATCAATAAGCTCTTTTTTTTTTTTTCCCTTTTTCTTTTTTTTTTTTTTTTAACCAAAATAATGTCTACGGCAGCAGAGACCTCTCCGAGATGTCAGGTATTGGTCCGGAGGGGCTGATCTGCGAGCCACACAGCAGCTCCCGGGTCTACGGTACATTAGCCGCCTCTCCGTGGGAGAGGGATCCCAGACAGCTCCGCTGGGGAGCCAGCCCAGGAGATTTGTTAGCGGGCTGCTCCGGGGGATCCCAGCCACCTCCGGCACCCGGGCGCCAAAGGTGCTTGTGCTGCTGCTGCTGCTGCTGCTGCCGCTGGCGCATTTCATCCCAACTCCAGCCAGAGCGGGGGCAAGTTGAACCGGAGACATTAGAGCCACTGTGCTTCGGAGAGACGGGGGAGCGCGGCCGCACCATGCCTGCGATCAAGAAGGAGCGACTTGACAGGGAGGAGATGGCCCTGGCAGCTTTTAACCAGCCCATGGAAACCTTACCTGACTATCTCGCCCCACTGGCCGCCGCTGCCATGCCGGTGGTGGCCCCGCACCCGCCGGCTTACGACCAGCTCTTTGCCCCCCGTGCGTACCTGGGCTTCCATGAGACCCACCGCCCCCACCCGCATCACCCGCACCACCCCCACCACCTCCCCGAGGACCTGATGCTGGAGAGGTTTTCCTCCATCCCGGATTTCCAGCCCTTCTTTGACAACGGAGAGCCTTGCATCGAGGTGGAGTGCGGGGAGAACAAGGCGCTGCTCTACATCAATAAGTTGTGCCAGGGGAGCAAAGGACCCTCCATCCGGTACCGGGGAGAGTGGCTCACCCCTAACGAGTTCCAGTTTGTCAGCGGCAGGGAGACAGCCAAGGACTGGAAGCGCAGCATCAGGCACAAAGGTAAAGGCGCTGCTCGCTGTGTGCGGGGCTCCCGGACGCGGCGTCGTACCCCCCCCCCCTTCCCTTCTCTCCCTCCCACCCGCGGGCTTCGGAACCGGGATCCGCACGGGAGCCGTGCTCCCACCGCCGTTCGCACGGGGAGAGCCGGGACATGAGTTCCCCCACCGTGCCCCCCGGTCCCCATCACTCCCCCGGCTCCCCTCTCCCGTATGTGCCCGGTACCGGGCTCTCCGCAGTAAGTTTTCCAAGCGATTGGGAACAGTTGTTCGGGGTTATTTTGGAAGGGGGGGGGAGGAATGCTCCTCTCTCCCGGAGGGAACTTTGCCCGGTTGGACACGGGGCACAGCGCGCCTGCGGGCGCCGCTCGGCGGGGCGCGGAGCCGCCGGTGCCGGTGGCGGCAGCGGGCAGAGCCGCGGGGAGCGGCCGGGCGAGGACAGGCCCCGGCGGAGCGGCGGGCGGGGCGCGGGGGGGAGCGAGGGGGGGTGTTCCCCGCAGCTGGGTGGCGGCGGGACCTCCGCGGCGGCCCTGCCTCCATCCATCCCTCCCTCCCTTCCCTCCCTCCTTCCCTCCCCTCCCGCCCGCGGCGCAGCCCGAGCCAGCGCCGCAGTCCCGGCACCCGGAGCTGCCGCTGGTGCTGGCGGCAGGTGGAGAGCGGGGACCCGGCTGGCCCCGGGGCGGGGGCTGCGGGAGGGGGGGGGGGGAGCCGGTGCCGCACGCAATTAGCGGAGGGCGGGAGGTGTCAGGCCGGGGTCCGCGGTGCTGCCGCCTCTCCGGAGGGAAGGGCAGTAACTTGGTGCCGTTACGCCGCTCTCTGCTGCTCGTTCACTGCCGGGCTCCCGGGAGATGCCGGTTCCTCCGGGGTGAGTGAGGAGCACCGAGTGACCCGCACGGAGCAGCGGAGGGGGGGAGGCACGGAGCGCGGGTTGCGCTGCCCCTCGGCGCTGCGGCCGGGGGTGCTGCGGGGCGCTGCGGGGGGCAGGCGGCGGTGGGAGGGGTGTTTGCATGGAAGCAGACGCGTGCTGTGCTCCCCCCCTTTCCTAAAGCCTTTTACCAACGTGCTGATCCTCTTTCTTCTTTTCCATCTCTGCATATAGGGAAAAGTTTGAAGACTCTTATGTCCAAAGGAATCTTACAGGTACATCCTCCAATCTGTGATTGCCCTGGGTGTCGAATTTCGTCTCCAGTGGTAAGATTATTGTTAAACTATGTGCTTTAGTTAAGACATCTCCCCTCTCCTCCTCCTCCTTCCCTTAAAAACCCATCCCTTTGCTTCTGTGGTCATGAAACCGGGATCAGTGTGGGCTGGGAGCTGTCAGCCCCGAGTGTGTGCACCACAGGCTGGCAAAGAGGAGTCTGCCAACAGATCAGTGTGTGACCTGGAGGATGCAGCACCCGGTGCCGTTGTCTGGTGTTCAGGGGGAGCTGCGGACACCCAAAATGATACTTACAAACCATCCATCAGCCTCTTCCCTGTCCTCGCCCCTTCATTTTAGTGGATTGTGCCAGGGTGTGAAGTGGCTGAATAAAGCAAAAGGGAATTATAATAGAGTCAGAACAGCCACAGGTTACCAACCATTAGTGAATTTCTTCAGATAAGAGGAACAAGCTTAAACTGAGCACTTGTGACTTCTGCAGCATTCATGTCATAGATCAGTTACTGCTTTTACAGTTGCTCTTCCCAGCTTTGGAGTTCCTTGTGGTTTCTGCTGTCTTGCCTTTACCCTGAGACTTTCAGAATCTCTATAAAGCATCTTCATGAAAAAGATGTTGGTGATGTAAATAAAAAGCTACTGAAATTGTAGTAAACTACAGGCATTAAAACCAGTTCATCAGGTGTAAAAATAGCCATAAATGCAATGACAGGACGACAGCGCTGTTGGTTTGTGGAACTAAAGCAGCTCTGGGTCTGAAATAACCACCATGACTTAAAACATTGTGAGTAGCACTGGGGAACGGCTGCGGCTGGGAAGTTCCGTGCTGTTATCCACTGAAATCAGCCATTTCTTGGGGATCAAATGGGCAATCTCTTCTCACCCGCAGTATCTTTATGACGCTGCGTGACAGGATTGTGTATTTAATTCATTCCTGCCTAGTGTCTCTGTGCCGGCATGCTTCTGTGTACAGATACAGTCCTGGCTTCCACGTGTGTGCCTGCATTGACACGGGAAGGGCCTTAGAGCAATAATCAAGTTACATAAATCAATGTGAAGGTGCCACCTGTGTGATGTGAGTCTCCTGTTTGTGTAGCAGTGGTCCATTCCAAAGCAAGCACTGCCTAGTGAGCTTACAAGTACTTGCTGTACTGAAGCATCACCGTGGTATTTAAACCCAACAAACCACGTAGACCCAATGGACTCGTGCACTTCCTCCGAGTTGTAAGGCGAGGCACGATGTGGTGTAATGAGCTTTCTGCAGGTTTGAGTTTTGCATGTGATTGAGTTGCCCATTGTGTGGATCAGAGGCCGGTGACCAGCTATCTGCAGGCCAAAGGGATAGGCCACAGTTGCTGGTGGTGTTGGGAAGTTTCTGGCCAGTTGGCATGGTCTGCTGGTTGCTTTCTGCATCCTGAGTTGCACTGGGGGGTAGCTGGAATGACACACTGTGCTTTCCTCATGTTTTCAGTAGTCACACAGGGATGTTGTGCATCTACAGATGGGAAGGCAGCTCTGTGTGAAGCAAGTGTCTTTAAAAGTGGTTGGGCTGGTTCAGCCTGGAGAAGAGAAGGCTCTGGGGAAGCCTTAGAGCAGCTCCAGTGCCTAAAGGGGCTACAAGAAACCTGGAGAGAGCTTTGGATAAAGGCTTGTAGGGACAGGCCAAGGGGAATGGCTTTAACCTGCCCGAGGGGAGACTGAGATGAGCTCTTAGGCAGAAGCTCTTCCCTGTGAGGGTGCTGAGGCGCTGGCACAGGGTGCCCAGAGAAGCTGTGGCTGCCCCATCCCTGGCAGTGTTCAAGGCCAGGTTGGACACAGGGGCTTGGAGCAAGCTGCTCCAGTGGAAGGGGTCCCTGCCCATGGCAGGGGTTGGAGCTGGATGAGCTTTAAGGTCCCTTCAACACAAACCAGGCTGGGATTCTGTGATTGTATGAACTGAACTGGACAAGTTCAGATGAAGGAAGAGAGTTTTGAGAAGGGCGAAATAAACCCATCTGAGCTTGCCTCCTACCACATCCCCATCCTTATAAATGAGTTACAGGAGGGTTGGTATCAGAGTTTGCAGAGTGAGGACAAACTCCAGTAAGAGCTTTTATCACATTTCTTGTTTCTGGGTGCTGGCTGCGTTTTCTGTGCTGTAGTTAGGACATACATTTGACCAAGGGACAGATCCCCATTTTGAACCCGGAATCCTTTTTATGGCTTGTCCCAGCTACGTGGGCTACCCATTAAGCAGTTACCCAAGGAAGAGGGTTAAAAATGGAGCACAGTTTATCTTTAGCTGTTCAGTGATCACCTCTTCAAGCACCACTGGGATCAAAGGGCTGTTTCCTCTCAAATGTAGAAATACTTTGTCTTTTATAGTATATTTTATAGGTATATAGAGACCTGCAGTGCCTGGCTCCTGCTCCTGTGTTACCACACGGGGGTATGGTGCCGGGGAGCTGCTCCTAAATCAGTCCTTGGACAGCGGGAATAGGCCAGGAAAACCTATCCGGGGAGGGAGCCAGAGCGGACCCGTGTGTTCATGTGTGTGTGTCCCCATCCCGGCTCGCTGCCGCCTGCTCCGGCTCCCCGCAATGAAACCGCGCCCGGCGGGGGGACCCCGTTCCCCCCCAGGTCCCGTTCCCTTCCGCCCTGCCCCGCCGGGGCTGGCGCTGCCCCCGGCCCCGCCGCCCCCCGCCGCCCCGTCGCAGCTCGTTTGCTGCAGCTGCAGACAGCGGCCGGCGCCGGGCCCAGCTCCGCCACCGACCGCCGGTTTCCTGCAGGCGGAGGGGAGCAGCCGGTCGCGCTGGCGCCTCCTCCCCCGGGCCGGCAGCAGCCATCAATCAGAGGCAGGAGGGATGCGGGGGGGGGGTCCCGGGAATGGGCGAGCGGCGGAGGCTGCCCCCGGGGCCGCTCTGGGGGCCGGCAGGGAAGCGGTGCCTGTGTGTGCTTTGCTGCCTGCTTCCCCTCCCCAGCTCTGCAGAGACCCCCGCTGAGCCCTTCAGGAGCGTGGCTGTGCTGCCGGCATCCCTGTCCCCTTGGCTTTGTACCCTCGCCTGTGCTCCAGAGCTGCGCGGCTCTTCTCTCCATCTCCACTCTCCAGGCTGGGGTTGGAGGTGTCCTCACTGGCACTGGTTATCTTAGCCAGAGGGAAGAAGCAGCCTAAATGGTCTTGAGAACAGCATTAAAATCGTCATTGCTAAAACACAGTGCCTTTGATTGGCAAAGTCCAGCATCACCTATCCAGTGTCACAGAGGAACAGCATTCCGTGCAATGGATATACTAAAGTTGTTTCCCTTGTCAGTGTGACCCATACTTTGTTTTTCATACTAGACATGCTGCCTCTGAAAGTACCTTAGAACCGGGCACTGGCTGCTCCTCATCCTCTTTTCCCATCTTTTCTTGGATGGGGTCTCTGAAAGGTAGCCCATGTTGGAGTATGAGGGTAGAGAAGGTGAGTTTTCAGAAGGCTGTCATGATACGGCCATATTCAAACAGAAAACATGACACAGTGATGGGGGCTTTGCCGCATCTCCCTCGTTGCCTGTTACACACAGTGATCCTGCACAGCTTGGGCACTGGCAGTGGAAATTCATTTCCTTACTGGGGCTGTGTTTTGCTCTTGGTTTTATTTACATGTGCTTCTATTTATCTGCTGCTTTTTGCTTCTCCTCGTCATCGTTGTTGTTTTCTTTTGCTGCCCCTGAGGTTAAGGCATGAGTCCAAGGCTTTGTCAAGGCTGGGAAAAGTAACTTCAAAACCTGAATGCCAGCAACCAGCAGGACCTCTGGTATTTAGCCCTAAGAGTGAGCTCTCTCCTGCCTTCCTGTCTCAGAGGGGCAGGGTGGAGGCAGCTCCACATCTACCCTGGAGCATGGCGTTCTGTGCGGCTGCAGCCACACTGCCTTGCACTACCCAACGATGCCCTCCTGGACATCAGCCTGCTCCATGGCTTTGCCTGGAAAACTGGGCTGGGGGAAGGAACGGAGATTCCCTGGGCTATGGAGCTGTGGGATCCATCAGAGGCTGGCCAAAAAGGGGAATCTCACCCTGGACATGAGTCTTTCAAGTGAACTTTCCTCTGAGAAGAGCACTCTGCCTGCTGGAAGATGTAGTTGGCTGCCTGTAGAGGCAGGATTAAGCCTGAAATTTTGCTTTTAACTGACTAGATTAGATTTAGCTGCTGTAGACTTAAAGAGTGGAGCTGGAGAACCTTAGGGTTTATGTGAAGGGGGTTGTTTTCATAGCTTTGCCTTTGTGTCCCTGGGGGCTGCCTTATGAATGTGGAAAAAGCCCCTCTGCAAAGCAGACTTATAAACCTTGTTATCCCCCTAAGGTCTTTGGCACAGTCTGTCGAGTTTTATTTGTGGTTTCATGCTGATTCGGATTGTTGCTTTTAATCCAGCACATTTTAGGTTGGCTTTTGTTGGAGTGGTTTGAGTTGGTTGGGGTTTTTCTGTTTGTTTGTGGGGGTTTTCTGGTTCTGTTTTGGGTTTTTAATGGATTTCACTCAAGTCATTTTTGGAGCGTGTGTGTTGCTTTGCAGGCTTGTAAGTTAAACTTGAATCCTTAACAAAAGTCTGTTCAGAATGTGACAGACATCACCTTTACGGAGAAGCTGGAGGTGAGGTATGTTGTGCTCTCAGATGGGGAGAGACTCACACATCCCATGAGGACTGGGGAGAGAGATGCTGAGCCTGAGCCCACAGCCTCAGCATGCAGGGCTTCTAATTCAAGGGTACATGTGTGTCTGCTTCCCTCCCAGGAGCATCCCTAAAATCAACTGCTCTTGGGTCAGCCAGCATTTCACAGGGGAAAGCTTGACAGCTTGGAATGGGAATCAGTGTGGCAGTTACTCCTGCTGGTCCTGAGACTCATCTCAGGAGCAGGACACACTGCAGTAGCATTATGTGCACTGCCAGGGATTGGGAAGACGGGATTGCACCAGTAAAATGAGTAATTATTATTTTACACAGAGGCAGAACAAACGCAGATCAGTGGCACTGAGAGTGCCAACACAATACTGAAGGATTTAATTTTGTGGATTAT